AGCCAATATTAACATGTTTGATACTTCCTAATTCAGGTTTTACCATGAATTGCTCCCTGCACGGGTAAATCTACTATATGATAAAGCATGCATGGTTATTTGACAAAAATAATAGGCAAATTTAGTTTTTCTATAAGTTAAGATACCTGCTGATGATCCGTAAAGAACTTTAAAATTAAGCGCTACCACGATTAGGTATACACAAATACAACAGCGCCTCTAGATCTCGGGTATATTCAATCATGGTGCGAGTTTATACAATCGGTCATTTCTAATTTCGGATTTCTTTGGTGAGGCGAAATGGGACGGAAGCAATAAGCATTGTGCATATGTCAAGCCAATAATAATACAAGTCATACCTTGCAATCAGCTTTGTAGATGTTTTCTTATGCTACTTCAATCCACTCGTCGATCGAGAGGGTAAAAAGAGAAAAAAATACCCTCCCCCTCTCGCCCGTGTGTCGTCTGCTCCGCTGTCATCCGGCTGGCGTACAAACTCTGTTTAAAATCGCGTCATTTTGGGAATTTTAAGCGCAGATGTGTAGATTTTAGTATGCCAGTTTTCGTGTATTACTATGCGAGATAAAAAAGACTAACAAAGTTCAAGTGCGCTGTTATCTGTGTGCAAATAAAAAAACAAATAGGGAAAACTGTGTCAGACTGGCCGGTCTCTCCGGCGAAAAGTGAATCCGGTGGCTGTACCTTTTTGTACCATACAAATTTCGTACTGGTGTAGGCCTTTAGACACCATGAGTGGATGTCTGAAATAATAAATAAAAACGTGCTCTCCTGCCGCAATACACGCAGTAGTTGAGGGCAGTACTGCCGGCTGACTCAACTGCTATTTAAATAACGGAAAAAAGATGTCGGTTGATCATCTACCGAAGTAGAACAGCAGAGAGCTCTAGGCTGATTTTGGAGTAGCCATAACTATTCTAAGAACGCGAACCACTTCACAACGGCAGCCACGAGCGAGTGTTCGATGTTCCGTACAGCCCGCCGATACAGCCCAAAGATGGAGAATGGCAACCTCCCGTTTTGTCGTCTGCTAGCGGAGTCGGGCGCGTGCCCTCTCTCTCATTTTAACCCGCCGAACCCGCTGAATTTCCCGGATGTATAGAGAGGGCGCTGCTGTCGAACAAAATGGTTTTCTTGAAAACTTGGAAAGCAATGTAGCGGCAGCATTCCTTCGTCAAACCCGCTGAACATCGCAGCGGTGCAAAAGAAGCAGTGATCAAGGTACAAACGGCCACTGCGTGTAGAATTTCAAATGGCTTTTGCGATCTTTTCTCCGCCACTTTCTAACCAGATCGGACACGTTTGCGCTCCTCCATCTCACTACCCCAAAAAGACCACCCGGAAAGCCCACGACGTGAATATCCACAAATCAACTGATGCCAAGTGTCCCTGGTCCCGGCTAAGGGCGGTCTTTCAATCACAAGAAAACACACAAACTAGCAGAACGGCACAGACGGTTCGAGCGAATACTCTTTCTCAAGTGACGGGACCCAAGGAGCAGAGCAATGGTGTACAACACGTGGGAGATGGGAGGCAAGGCAGGTAATTGGGTAGCAAAAAAAGGGGAGGGGAGAGCAAATGGGCCTAAAGTCGAGACCCCGCAAGAGTGCATCTGGGGGTTGGACGATTCAAATTAGAGGGAAGCGAACTGTTTGTTTGGCGGCAAAAGAGAAGGTTCAGAAAATCGGTTGTCCCGTAAGCCTGCGGCAGAGGCCTGCGGGCGTTTGGGGCGACAATCACCAAGAACTGTCCGCGAAAAGCATTTGGTTCTTCCGCCGGACGAAGAAAAGAGAAACACTTTGGAGATGCCACGCTTTGTTACATCTGCGTGTGCTGTGGGAGAAGCGATTTACAGCCAGCGTCCCTGGTTTTGAGAGAATACGTCAGTGTTGCCCGACTGCCTTGGGCTGTGGGTTTTCTAGTCAGTGGGCTGTACCAGACAGCGTAGGCGCACTTCCGGACGCTGGTGGAGGCTAAATTGCCGCGTTCTATTTTTTTATTTTGTGTTGGATGGCGAACAAGCCTTTTCGGGATTTTTAAGAATGCACTGTACTATTTTTGGGAAGAAAAACAAAGAAATGAAAGCTGTTTTGGTGCGTCCGTGCGCGACAGAACAAATGCAACTGGAATGTTTGTTTAATTTTATGTTGATCATTTTACGGCACAATACACTCAGCCGTGTCAATCTACAAAGGTCTTAACCGTCGAAAATATTTGACCGCACAGGATATCCGAACTGCATGGATATTCCCCGACCACAACATGAAATTAGTCTGATCAATTGAACAAAATACTATATTGTACGTACCCCTCGGTGCGGCGTTATCCGAACAGGATTTGAGAAAGGTCTCAAATAACACAGCATATCCAATATACAGTGTCAACGATAGGCACTTCCAACGATCGGACGGAATCCGGCGTGTTTGGGGGCACATGTAGAGGAGAGCTGATTTTCTTGCACAGCTTCAAAGCAAATGAACGAACGTGTCTATTCCGTCCCCACACCCCGGACCCGACCCTATCAACTATTTTTCGCGAAGACCCGGAACTAGAGAGCCTTCATGTGCGCTTTGCTAGGGTGATGCCACCCTTTGTAATACCACTGGCCGACAAACCAGCAACCATTTTGTTCCTCGGCGATGATCCGTGGGGCTTATAACCCTTCCGGAAACAAGCACCTTATCACAGAAGTTCGGAGCAGCGTTGTGGAACCCACGGAGGGAGGATTAGCATTTTCCCCCTCGGATGGGATTACCGTTGGACACAAAGGCCACTTTCCGGCGCACGGGGAAACAATGAGGGGAACAAAATGGCGGTGGAAGAGGGTGTGAGAAAGGGAAACAGGCAGTTGGCGTCACTCTATGCGAAGCGCATATGAAGGCACTCTACCCGGAACATTGCCGGGAAAGCTTTTAGGAGATTATTTCAACGGAAACAAACAAAGAACGTCGAACTGCCCGCGTTGCGGGCTGCTTGACAGTCGCTCTCTTCGTTTGCTTTTTGCGAAGGCCGAGCAGGCTACAAGGCCTGGTATTCCCTGGTTATCGCAGTCGAAGATAACAGACAAAGGGTGAGCTTCCTAAACAGGCAAATAAAGTAAAAAATTTCCAAGAAAAGCCGGCGAACTCCGAATGCACAATGCAGGTAGGGAGTCACGCTGACAGGATTTCCACAGCTCAGGCAGGTGGCAGAAATTTCTGGCTGACAGGGGTCACTCGATTCGCAAAATGGCGGCGGTCAGAGAGCTCGGGTACGGACACAAACGTCCCCATCATCCCAGTAGGCGAAACCAGCTTGGCGAAGCAGGGTCACCCCAGAACTTAGTTTATTTTTTCTCTCGAGCTCCAGGAGGGCAGTTTTTTCTCTGCCCTTCCTGTATCAGGATTTTGGACCCTCTCATGCAGTTGCGAAACGATTTGGCGGTCGTATTTGCAATATGTTTGCACATAAATCTGAGAAATAACTGTAACGACGTCACTCTTTACATTTACTTTCGGAAAATTGTATCTCTGCTACAGTTACAAGTTATTTTCACTAAGCAGTAGCGAGTTAGAGTTACAAGTTATTGAAAAAGTAACTAGTTACCGGTAACGCGTTACTAGTAACTATAGTTACTGCCCAGAACTCGGTAAAACCGTCTGGGTGTTTTATAGGGTGCCCGCCTGAACATGAAGCTGGCTCGCCAAGAGCCAAATTGTGGTTCGAAAACCAGACACAGAAATACAGGCGAGAATGCCCAAAATCTTCGATGTCTCCGACGACAACGTGATAGCCGTGCTTCAACACAGCCCGCAAATGCGATCTCTCCCTCGACAAACTGTGTCACCTGCTAAGGCCTCCTCTTGCCTTGGAAGTTGGGATACTTGATTCCCTCAGCTTGCTACATCCGTACGCAGTCGCTCGCTCAAGAAGGGCTTTCGTCTTGCGCAGACCATCTCCCCGCCTCGCGCTTCGGCTCTCCCCATGGAAGCAGTTCCACGACTCCCGTGGTTGCTCAGAACACAAAAACAACAACTACAAAAAAAAAAATCGCAGCCCCAAGAAGAAAAAAAAAAAGCTGAAAGAATTTTTTTTTTTTTTTAGTTTTTTTAGGAAACATCACTGATCAAAATATATGCAAAAGGAAGAAGCCGGCTGGCTGGGTGGAAAAAAAAAACAGTGCGCTAGCTGCGCGCCTCCCTCCCCCTCCTCCTCCTCCTCCTCCTCCTCCTCCTCCCCCCCCCCCCCCCCCCCCCCCAATGACCACGCAAACCTGCGAGTGCCGTATGTGAGGACCCAGGAAAACGACCAAGCAGGGGGAGAGGAAAGATCTCCCTGACTGTACTATGCAGGCCGTTTACTGACACTTTGCTTTACTTCGCTATTTCTTTCTGGAAATTCGTGTGCGAAGGTTGTGCCGCAATTCGGTGGTTAACCAGCCGTAACAAAAACAGCCACGTGCTTCCCCTTAGCCAAGGATGTGGCTAAGGGCAAGCCACGTACCAAAGGGAACACAGGGGGGAGGGGGTGGGGGAGGGTGAGGCAATGTTCAGCAGGCCTTGAGCCAAACGCACGGGGGCTCAGCATACTGCCCAGCACCCTCTCGGAAATGTCAGCGGGTGCTCAAGCCCCCCCTCCCCTCCCCCCCGGTTCCGGGGCCCCTGTTGTTGGTACGCCTCAACGGGTGACAGGCCTCTTAGCTGTAGATGAGAAATTTAGCTAGTGCACTACAACCGCTAACCTGCGGTTTTTAACGTACGTCACCCAGTACTAGAAGTGATTACACGAACGCGTGCCGGTTCGGGCTCGGGCTACTTTGAACATTGGCGGGAACGTTCATCTCCATTTCTTTCGCAAGACCACTGCCCGCGCGCGATACGTTCGTTTCAACACGAGCATCGACTAAAAATTCTTGCAGACGTCTGGATGGCCTGTCTGTGGCCTCAGCGGTCTCAGCACGAAAGGGGGAGGAAAAAAAATTACTTCAAACCCTTCAAACTCACTTGTAAAGCGCTGGATTTCTACCTTGTGCAACCGTTGCTGCCCCGTCGCCGCGTTGGGTGCTGGCCGTGCTGGCTGGCACGGCTGGCACGTGTGCAGTCGTTTCAGATGGTGAAACAGAGATGGCGCCACCATCCTTCTTTTGAGGCTAATTTATCCTCCTTGTGATCAGTGGATTTCGCGGTTTTTTCAGAAAGATTAGTTAGTATTCTCAACGGCATCCAAAGATATACACCGACACGCGGGCTTGACGTCACGGAGCTGCGGCGGCGCTGCGATCGCGCCGGAACCGGGGTGTGTGGGCAAGAGCGCGCACGTTTCGCATTGGCGTCATAGCATTTCAGCTTGCCGCGAAGCTGTGTTGCCGTTAATCTCACCGACATGTACAAAAAAAGCAGCGGAGTGAGTTTCCACAAGTTCCCGGCAGACTCTGAAAGGCATAGGAGGTGGATAATATCCGTCGATCGAAAAGAATGGTCGCCTCGCGCGAAAGACCGTTTGTGCGGCAAGCACTTTCTTGGAGGCAAGCGCGGCTTCCATTTCTATCTCCGTCCCGAGGCTTGCTTATGTACAGGGAAACCGTTGTCTGATCGAGACCACCCGGATTTTGTTCCCACGGTGTTCGTGCACAACGCACCGGCCAAGCGCTCGTCGGAGGCTCGCTACGCCCGTGCTACCGAGCAGAAGGGGATCGGCGACAGAACGGCAGTGTTGTATGCGTTACCAAAAAAAAAAAAAAAAGTAACGAAATACGTCACTCATTACTTGCAAATAAAAGGTACGCGTTACTGAGCTACGTTATCTAAAAATAAAAGGAACGCGTTACCGCTACCGATAAAAAGTAAGGCACGTTACTTCTGCATTACCTTTTTAAATTATGATTTAACACATTTTACGGTTTTGACGATACAGGTCATATATCAAGAAACATTATGTTCATGCAGAAACTGAACATAATTACTTTTTCTCTTTTTACGGTTTCACCTAAATACTTACGAGAAAAAACGCAAAGAAAAACATGGCTTGACGCCTTAAACACGGAAACAATTGAAAAGTAATTTCTTTAAGACTTGGGAACTAGTAACGACTACGTTACTTGAAATATTAACATAAGTACGTTATCCGTTACTGTGTCGAAAGCGTAACGAGTAGGTTACTACGTTACTGAAAAAAGTAACGCCTTCCTGGTAAGGCCGTTACTTATAACCTGTTACCGCCAAGACTGCAGAACGGACAAACCTTTACTGGTTGTAATGCCTTGTGGTCATGAGGGTATGGAAAATATCGTACCTTGACTTGAAGACGCTCTGTGTATTTAATCAATTAATGAATACACACACTATCGCAGACCCACAGTCTGCTGATCCCGCCGGCAGTGCGGAAACCGACTCGATGTAATCGTAGACCTCGAGAGTCTTGTACGCCTGCACCGTGTCGGCCGTGAACTGGCTTGGCGAAAAAACTAAAGAAACGACGACCTGAGCCGTCGACTTCCGTGGCAGCAACTTTACGTCGGAAGTCCAGCAGACCTAGTTTACGGCGTACGGATCCTCGTACGCAACGCCGTCCACGCGCAGTTTGTTTCGATACCGGTACCGTTCAGGCTCGTGCAACGAGCTCAAATAGTCGGGCATAGCATACGACATACGTTATGAGGAAATACGACGCACAAATAAAGATACAAGCGTCCCTACAACGACAACAACGAGCGCACGCCATAGAGCGCAATGGCGAAAACACGGAGAGCCGAGCTGCTTTTGCCCACATAGCTACCGCGCATGCGCGGCCTTCCGGCCGTGTTGGTAAACAGAGCCGCTCCGCGTGTCGGTCTATAAAAACATGTTTTTAGCATGTGACTCGTCTAAATAGTTCAAGAAAAGTAAAATTTCATGATGATGATAGCAAGTCGTAGCAATTCGATTGCAGTTGCTGCAGTTGCTGCGTGTGAAAGCGGGCGCCGCGGGCGCAGCCGCGCAGCGGATGGCCCGGTGTTGCTGGTGTTGCGACGGCAAGTTGCTGGTTGAAATTGCTCCGTCTGAAATTCCTTTTATCACTAATCAACCGTTGCACACGAACAGTGCTTCTCGAGCGGGGGGTCCGCTCGAGAAGCACTTTTCAAACACGGCAGTACAGGTGTCTTTATTTTTGTATTTTTTAGATTGAGAAAACGTTCCACTTTTTGGGTGAGCTTTCTCTAGTGTATGTCAATAAGAGAAGTCTACTTCGTAATAGCCTTTAGCTATATTCATATATTAAATCATTATCACAATTAATCTCTACATTTTCGTTCCCCTCACCTCACACGGGGTCTTCAATCTCCGCCGATCCACAACGAGTTCGCGAAACATCAACGGTTGAGAACCACTGATCGACGACCTGAAACGGTGAATTAATTAGGTTATCATACTCGAATAACCGATAAGTCTAAGGTTTAGTAACTCTAGATTTGGGGAATCAAGTACAAAATCGTGTCTCTCATGCTCGTGTTCGCCCGAGGAGCGAACACAGGCATGAGAACACCAAGGTATGAACCCCACACGAATCATGCACCGCCGTGCACACTCTTGAAAGAGCCGACCTTTATGAGCGCGCTTCCTTTTAAAATGAAAATTTTTGTAGCCCTCGTGGCCTAACGGATAAGGCATCGGTCTCCTAAACCGGGGATTGCGGGTTCGAATCCCGCCGAGGGTAGAAGTTTTTATGAATTTTCAAAAGCTTTCAGAATGCCATTTTATTTTTTTATATATTTTTATCGCCATTGGGGTGCCAAGGTGCGCTTCCCGAATTATTCTGTTAAAGCAGTCAGCGCTGACGTAAACATAAAAGAATGGTGCTTGATTAACGTTGGGACCTAAATATCCCTAGATTGATGCTTAATCATCCCTGTTGCTGCAGTTAGTCCCCAAGAGCGAGTTTTACTCTTGAACATTTCCTTATGTGTTTTCCTACATCCTTAACCTCGCACAACAATACAAATTCTATTATTTCGGCTTCGTGGGAAGTTGATGTCGTAGTCGGCACAGATTCGCAGGCATAAAAATGGTTTCAACCTCTTGCGCAAATGCAATCGGCTTTGAAAATGTATCTCTGCCAGCTAACATCTTTGTGCAAAAGGAACTACTTGCAGGGTCAGAATTTAGATTTGTGCAGTTTCGCTGTTCAGGTCGCACATAAATATGAGTAGCCCTGCACAAATATTTTCGGTATGGTGCTAGATGAGTTTCACTGCGGTGAGCTTCCTTACAAAGCCAAAAAGACGAGAGTTGCTTCACTCGCTACTGCACTAGACGAGGCAATTAACGCAAACTTCTTGACAGTATGGAAACATAAACCTTTCCAGTGCTTATCACCCAAAAGAGAAGTACCGATTCGCCCAGCTGTGGATGCATGCACGGTCTTCTGCAGAAGAGAGCTACTGCACATGCTCAGGACACGTTCCACAGTCCACCAAGGAAAGATGGCAGCGTGCAAATGATTGTCGGAATGGTCTACATGTCAAGTGCCATTCAATAATGTTACTTTAGCTGGTTATACTTGAGAAGTGTCGCTGGAACGCGGAATGTACTTGCCCTGCTCTGAAAGTACTGGAAAAAGGAAGGTATGCGGTATGGCCGCAGCAATATAAACAAGAACAAACACCGCACCTTGGCAAGGTCCTCGCAACATCTCGGCGGTATTACGTTACGAGTCAATAGAGTCAATAGTGATATTGCATAAAGTTGTCGCAACGACCTTCCGAAGGAGATTGTATCAATTGACAATAATGACTTATTCTTTTCTAACTTGTCACAGTGTATCCTAAAAAAAGCTATAATAATGCCCACAGGGCAATGTGGGTACTTTATAAATAAATAAAATAAAACATGGTTCTCTTCTTTGAATTAACATAATACTGTGGCAAGCAGAAACCAATAGTTTTTGTTTTTCCTCAGCAATATTGTAGGTCATGGATCCGAGGCACAGCCACTCATTTAATTGTGCATCATAAGTACAGCGTTTAGGTACTGTAACATTGAACTATTGAACTGCATACACAAGTTGGTAGCTTGACCATAGGAGTCATAATTGTTCACAAAAGTAGTTAGGTGGTGGATGCACATTCCTATAATTTTAACGTCAATCAAAGGCAAAAATAGTGAACCACGTTGTACCCCACAGTAACAACTGAAGCGCCTGAACTACTTCCCATTCGAATGGATGTAAGACGTGTGAAACTATGTTGAAACAAAGTGCAGACTTGACAGATTGGAGCGGCACTCGAAGAGCACTTCCAGGCCTCACTCCCTAGTCACTCAGTTTATAACAGCATTTGTTCCAGAACAAACAGTTTATTAGCAACAGTGTACATAACATGGGCACTTGGTAGGCATGTTGCAAGATGAGTCGTAAAAAAATAAAAGCCTATAAGTATTTATGAAACTGCCTCACGACACTTGTCCCAAAATAGGCCTACTTTAAAGAACCAGCACTATTTCTCGAGCCAAAGACGTGTCCACTGGTAATTATGCCACCTACGATACAAAAATATGAGAAAGAAAGCCTGTCTTGGACCTGCTTCGCAGCAGCACCGTTGTCATCTGGAGCCATTCAACCAACCTAAGAGGTCAGCTTTTCTGAATTTCAACACTGTATTTGCTTGCAACCCGACTTTCCTGGGCAGTTCTTATGAGAAACAGTAAATGCAGACTTTGTGCGGATTATGCTTGGACTTTTTGAAACATACAAGTTTGGGCACATTGATACCTCAGAGCCATGTTGTTGTAAGAAAAACTGCCTTTGAACTCCAGTCTGAAAAAACGCTTTTCATGTAAGGCTCGTCAAATTATGTGTTGCTGGAGAAAACCAGCTTCTGGACGGTGGTTTTAAAAGTGCAAAGGACTAGGAAGAGAAGAAGGGGACAGGACAGAGCGCTTTTAAAACTACCGTTTAGATGTTCAACCAACTAACCCCCCAATTAATTCTGAAAACCAGCTTTCTGCGTTCAGTCCTCATTTTTATTTTTATATTTATTTAATATACCTCAAAGCACCCTTTTGGGCATTATATGACTGCACCGCAGTGTTCTTCCGCAGCATAAAGGCCGTCTGCTTTCACTGCCATCACCATGGCAACGAACGCCGATTTTTCTAATGCCATCTGCTAGCTAAAGTTTAATAGTTTCGTAATGAGCAGCCGCACACTATCGCCGATGGGGGGGCTGGATTAACACGCTCCCCAATGATACACGTGCCGTCCGAAAAGGTAATTCGGCGTTTATTGTCTTGGTGACGGTCATGAAAGCAGACGGCCTTTTTGCTGCGGAAGAACACTGCAGCGCAACGATATGAGGTGCATGCTGAGGTACTTCCCGCATGCTTTTCAATGGGCGAAACGGGAACAAAAAGAATTTGAAATAAGGGCTTAACGCAGAAGGCTGGTTTTCTCCAGCACCTCATAATTTGACGGGCCTTACACGAAAAGTGTGCCTTTTTGGCCATTCCATGCCTTTTTTTTTTTTCATAACATGGGTCTCAAGTATCAAGCTGTCCAAGTTTGCAAAAGGTGGTATTCACAGGGCAAAAATGATAAGTCTCCCATTTTGGCACCAAGAAGTGCAGCACGTGGGGGTGCGACGTTATACAAAGATTTCACAAACGTCTGGCTGAAACTTGAGGAAATGTAATATTTCCTCAAGCCATATGCCACAAACTTTGAAACATTTGATTAAAATATAAATAACACCAAAGATTACAGGCACTTGCTAGTGAATTCCTAAAATCATAACTATGACAAGGTAATCCATAGTTTAAATTGCAAGTTTGTTCTTAACCATATAAGTATGTTGTGCCTAGTATAACAAAGAAGCTGAAAAACTCTCATAATGCCCAAAAACCTGGTGGGCATCGCCGGCGTAGTGTGTGAATGCATTGCAGCTTGGAATACAAGGAGCATAAGCTCTCACCGTAGAACTCTAACCCCATCCCTGCCCGTTTTGATCTGGATGAGCATCGTACCAGCATGCGGTTGCGCGTTGCTACCACGTGGTGCATATTGAAGACCCTGGGCTAGCAGTAGCACTGCACTGCTTGAATTCCTCGTCAATGGCAGAGACACCAGACGCCCATCGAGGCAGACTCGTTTCCCGCCGTCTAAGCATGCACGCAATGCAATTATCTTTTTAAAACTTTACTTGCTACTTCTAGAAAACAAATTTTACTATGCTTCCTTTGTTAGTCTCTTTCCATACCTGTTTAGAAGGAAAGGTGGTGTTTAATGTGCACACGATTCCCACGACCTTGAGAGCATTGTTCTCCAAGACCCATGAAGGAAACATAAACAAAATAAAGACAGAGCTACAGTTTTCCTACTAAAAGAAAGCAGGAATTCCCTTAGTACTTTCCAGCCACCTCATCCCACATACCTTTATGACTAATCAAAAGATCTTCCTATAAAAAGGAGCTCTGGTGAAGTTTTGACAGTCGGCATTTCAATTGAAAAATGGTTTGACACATTAATAGACGCACCTGAACTACTCACCCAAAAAGTGAGCAAAAATAATTTCTTTTGCTAAGTTATTTCTAGTTTCTTTAGAACTGGTAGAACTTAGCGAAAGAATAATTTATTTCGCTAAGTTCTACCGGCAATGCCGAAAACGTGATGTCAAATGTTGTAATGGAGGGGCAGTACAGTTTGATGCTGCAGTGTCCCCCCCTACGGGTAACAAGTTTGATGGCACAAGATGAATGCTGGGGAAGTTCACGTCGGCAGAACGAGGAAAAGAACTCGCAATTTAAACTGCTTGCTTGACTTGCAAGTTATACAAAATTCGAATGTTGGTTTTGGCATAAGCTACATTTGACGTTTTCTCGATAGCTATTTTTAATTTAGAGGTGGTGAACAGCACGGCGGAAAGACTAAAGCCTGGGTATTCCAAAAATGTGTTTAGTAGTTTGAGAAGTTGAAAGAGCCGCTGGAGCTCCCCTTTAAGAGTTGACCGCTAGGTTTCTGCCGCCTCAAAAAGTGCTTGGTCGCTTTAAACGGACCCAGTAATATACGAGATCATGTAGAGTAGCAGTGGTTCCTTTACACTTCTCATCATTGCCCAAACTACAGTAGCCTTCTGAAACAGAAAGAACCTTCTTGAGAGATAGTACTAATCTGTTAGCAACCATCATTTTTTAAAACACAGGTTCAAGGTAGAATTCAAATTTCTTCTGTTCACTACTTACCACCCAAGGAGTGCACAGCCACTCATCAATGGGTTCTAATTGGCATACTGAGAGGTAGTGCCAAGCAGAAAGTTCAATTCTTGTTGTTAAACTTCCCAAGACAGACTCATCAATGGGTTTTAATTGGCAACCTGAACTAGACCCACAATGCTAAGCAGAAGGATAAATTTTAGGCAGAGCTATTAAATCGCCCAGGACAGGCTGAACCCGTTTATCAATGCATATATTGGTCACACTTCTCAAAAGACAGCAAATACAAAGCCGTATCTTCCCAGGGTGAAGAGTTACAACGGCATGGGAATGTGCACAGCACACGAACCAGGCAAACACGTCGCATGTTACGGTCACAACTAAACAGAAAAGCACACCTTCGAGTTTATGTTTCCTTAAATATATATTTCCCGTTTTAAGCACAGAAACAAACAAAAAACCGCAATATGCTGTACGTTATTTGAAAGTATGCATATAATATTCAATGATATGTCAAACAGTGAGAGATGAAGACTGCCCTACACAAGAACGATTCAATGCTGGCATTGATTGAACAAGTGGGCATACATTCTGTCAACCCTCCACTGTTAAAAATACAGTCCTTGCAGAAAACAGTGTTGCATTCATTTCATCTGGAGCATGAACAGGTCACAGCAAAGCAAAAAGCATAAAAGCAAAAGGTCTTCCAATTTCTCCCGTATTGATGTTTTACTCCCAGTTCAAAGCAAGAATTCAAGCAGAGCCTCCAGTACCCAAATCCAAAATTCCACCGATTGTAAAAGTGAAAAAAAAAAATCAAACATCTCTTTTTAATGGTCAGAACACATTACACTTGTAAAAGAAAGTGTGGCGGTAAGTCGAGGCAATCAAATCGAGGCGTGTACATGTTGTACATCCCTTCCTGAAGCGAGAGAAACTCAAAAGTGCAATTACAACAAGACAGCAGCTATGAACTTTAGCTATGAAAACTTAACTTCCTAGTACCCTCAGACAAAACAGCCATGAAACATTCATTTCACTTATTTAGAAGATACCAGCTGAACATTTCACTTTTGTAGGGAAAACATCAGCTAAACCCTTTCTGCAATCGAAGCCCGTTGAGGACACAAGTAAAAAACGAAAGCCACAACAACCGCACCATCAGGTCTTTACCAGTCTCTTCTGAGACTCTCAACGAGAAGTACCCTCCTAAGCAAAACATCCATGAAAAATCTGTTACACTCTAATACGCAGAACATTAGTTAATCCCTGTGCAGATCCAGAATACATTGAAGACGGAAGGAATACAAGACAGCAGCTGGAACAACCAAACCATAGTGCTTGGTCGTCACCAGACTCTTCCAAAACTCCCAAGTACACTCTTAGACGAAACGTTAATGGAACATCCATTTCACTTCGATAGGTAAACCTCCCCTTCAGCAACCAAAGCCCATTAAAGACACAACCCGATGGAACGAGCCGCAACGACCGAATGACAGCATCGGGCTATCGCTGGTGTCCTCCAAAAGTCTCAAGCATGCATATTCCATACTATACCCTAGTAGGCAAGACATTTGTTTCCTTCTTTCCAAGAGGCAAACACCTCACAATGACAAGCACCAATCCCCTCCAGAAGTCTCAAGAGGGAGCAGCCTAGTAGGCAAAGCATCGCTGAGCACTGTAACCCAGCTTCTCAAGGTTGGGCTTGCAGGCAAAGTTGACCATGGGCGGCGGACCGCACATGAGCACCACGGTGTCGTCCGACGGTGGCGGGAAGTTCTTGGCGATCATGTCGGCGCTGACAAAGCCCACACCCTGCGTCCAGCCGTCCTTGGCCCGGTCCACAGTGAAGAAGAGCCGGAAGCGATCTGGGTGCTCCTTAGCCACCTGCTCCAGCTCTGGCCGCAGCAGGATGTCGTCTTCCGTCTGGTTGGCGAAGATCAACGAGCAGCGGGTCTTGTCCAGCGGGTCGTTGAACACGTGGCGCACAATCTGCGAGAGGGGTTGGCCAATTGTTATCCCTCAGAGGGTCATTGCCGTCTCTATACGGCGGCGATTAAACATTTGAAAGTTAACGCATGAGCGCAAAACCGTGCACACCAAGGGAGCTGCTATGTGGAGCGCAAGTTCGTCTGCTTCTTTTGCTGTGGTTGTCAAGACATCAGAACGCCGAACTCTTGATTAGTTCCGATTGAAGGACAGTGGGTAGACCTCAAGGCAGCCTGCTTTGAGGTCTACTCACTGTCCTTCAATCGGGGCAATCAAAGCTCGACATCGTTTTGACGTCACCGCAACTCCTTCGCAAGAAGCAGACGACATGCTCTCCGCATACATTTTCTTTGAGGAACTATACCGAAAAAAAAAAAAAAAAGCCTGGCAGGCGCTTACTCGAGATTTAGAGACAATCGCAAAAAAATGGGGGATGCACGCTTGTCCGGTCATTAGTTTTACGAATAAATTTACTGTGTGTATTTTCTGAGATTTTGCAAATTTGGGAATGGCCGCTTTGTGTGAAATGGGCAGATGTACAGTATTCTACTACAGTTTTTTAACTCGCACCATGTTTTGCTTTGCTGAGATTATAACCACGAAACTAGAGATTCCGTGCACACGTCGGCTGCTCGGGCGATTGTGGCAATCAGAGCGCCACTTTTTCCGATTCAGACATCCAACGCATGTTACAATTGAATTTAAAGGATAAGAGCTCATCATCTCATGGAGATGCTCTGTACAGTCCGAGACTGCAGGAATCTTGCAGAAGCAGACCGGAAACACAAAAACTTTGAAAAATGTTATTTTGGACCGCGCCATAATAAAATTGAATGGAAAGGCGACGATTTTTCGCCCCCAATATTCCCATTCTATGCTTCTCAAAATCTGGAGACCTCGGAAACACCATGTGCTCCCGTTAATTCACAAATAAATAAAACCTGTGCACAGTACACTCCTTTTTTTACCATCCTTTTGGGAAAAAAAAAACAGCCCTGTAGTGAGTCTTTTGAAAGAAAAAACGCTCGACCTGAAAAGGTTTCGCATTTACCTTCGACATTTGGTACACGTTTAGAATATTAAAGAATGGCGGCAATCTGAAAATGTTTTTTTTCCGAAAAACCGAAATCCATTTGAACTCAAACAGTGTGCCACATGAATCTTTACTCTCCCGTCATTCCAGAACTCCCCGGAAAGACCACACTGCACAAAAAGCGACAGAAAGGGCCAACAACGACACTTTCCAGCACTCGCTTCTCTTCAGTACAGCTGTAGAGTGGAACAACCTCCTTTAGACCACAACTGAATCTGAAAGCATCGATGGTTTTATAGACTGCTTGCTTAAGTCTACTGCATATTACTTAGACACAAAATTCGACTTCAAGTACAACCTTGGTTTTCTGCAGGGAAGATAACCCTCTTAGCGCTCCCCCTCTCCTAAGATGGGGGGGGGGGGGGGGGCCAAGCTCGGGCAAAGTAAAAGGCGGACAGGACGTGGGGAAGGAGGAGGCCGGCAAAAGTGGAAAGTGTACGTCGGCCTTTAAGCATTGCAGTTATTGTTGAGGACCTGATCATTAGTGGTCTTCTATAGTATATGTTTTGCTGCACTAACATTGAAGTTTGTTTTGCATGATACTGCTTTCTAGTATTGGTCCTCTTGTTGTTTTTAGATAACCATATACTTGCTCCTTTGGCAGTGCTTTATAAGATTATAGGTACAACCATCACTCCTGTAACAACTCAAATTTAAGTTGGCAGTATCAAAGCATCAATAAATAATAATAAATGACACCAAGAACGGCATACTAAAATAATTAGACCTTGAATTTTTATTAAATTCCCGGTAGGCATTTAAAGACTGTTTTTTTTAATCTGATATGAGTCCGACTTATTTGTAAAAGAACACGGGTCACAGCTTGCTTTACAAAAAAATTGGAGTTTTACTTTAGGACTGGACCTTAAAGGGGTACGGAAATAAAAATTTAAATATTCAAATTTCGTTCGGAAATGAGTCAAGCACGATGGATAATAACCGTAAATGATAATCGCACGTTTGTATTTTGAACGACTGGCTATATTTTTCATTCCAAACGGTGCACTCGAGCAAGCGCTCGAAGAGAAGCGAACGGAGAGCGTGATGCATCATGGGATATCCGGCGCAAACAAAAACAGAAAGAAAAGACTCCCCCCACATTCGTGAACTTGCAAGGCTGGCGTGATTATGAGCTTTGCCGTTGGTAGCGTTGTCAGCGTTGTGGTGGTGTCAATAGCGTCAACGCGTTGCAACCGAGCCGTTCGAAGTACCCGTGGGGTGACGAGCGTGTGGCTGGCCCAAGGAGCACGTAGCTTCCACAACACTGTCAGCTTAGGGCTGAACGGGTTGGAAAAAGCAACTTTTGTCCGAGTTTTGAGCGACTGGCTAATCTTCTAGGGGGAAAATGGCTGCATCAGGGTGCACAAACGAGGGTCCGAGAAAGAGAGGAGTCCCTCCTTTCCATCTTTTTAGACTGTTTAGTTCAATACGCAATTTTTAAGTTGAGGAGGAAAGCAAAGAAGGAAAGTGTTGAAACTCCGAAGAGTGGCGCTGCTCCGATGGAATCTGCTACGTCATGACTATGTAGCAAGTTCCCCAACGTTGCTAGATTACCTCCCAAATGGGCTCCGCATGCATCCACCAGGTGCACATTGAATGATGGTTTAATTAGCTTTAAAATTAGTTTGCTTGTGCCCTTCAACTCAAGACCGGTGTTTTTGAGGTTATGCTGCAACATGCAACACATTAAAGCTAAAAAATGAGTGCTGGATTTTTGTTTCCCTACCCCGTTTAAGGGATCATATATTTATAAAATCAACGAGCAGCATGGAACAAACATGTAGTAGGTATTGCAAAGACTCAATGAAAATTGTTTTGTTCTTTTAGAATGAAGGGTGCCTTTCTCCACAAAACATGAAAAATGAAGCTCCAACAGTACACTTCCCAACTAGCTGCAATAGACATACTGTATTGCTATGTTACCCAAGCATCAAGAATGCAGGGATTGGTGTTCCACGCGCCACACGTGCACGCCTTCCCCGTATAAAAGATTCGAAGTAAATAAGCAAAATAAAGCGTTGATGAACACACGTGCAGGATGCCATTTGTTTTAGGTATTTCCTTTAGAAATGTTACTACTGCTCAGGCCAGCGCGTGCGGCGCGTGGGACACCAATCCCTGCATTCTCCTTGATGCTTGGGTAATATAGCAATACGTCTATTGCAAGTTCAGGGTTCCATTTGTTGTACGAAGGTACTTTATACAGCTAGAGGTCAGTCGGCCTTGAAAATTAAAAGACTAGATTTTTCACGAGCATTTATTTCTTTAGACTTTCGCATACTAGAGAACATTGTGAAACTTGGTTGAGTAGTATGTACAGAGCTCGGCAAACTTATCTGGAACACATGCTAAGCCTACTCTTGGTTTGTTCTATTTTCCTTTTTCTATGTGTGCGTGCACAGCTGGCGCTAGCCCTAAGCTATTTCTATTTGTGTCCCACTATGTCCGTAGCATACCTTCAGTTCACATAAATATGTGCAATTCTCGCATATTTTATCTTTTTTCTGCATTCAATATTCCACAAGTGTTCCTTATAAGTTTGAGGAGCACTGTACGTCACCGTATTGTGGTGAACACAAACGATGTTGTGATTGGTTCGGGTCATTTTGGAGCACCTTTTGGAACAGCCAAAAGTCCATTTTGGAGAGCAAAACAAACTTATGTGGCATAAGCACAGACTTCATTTTCCTTCATAACACAGGAAGCTATTGCCAAGATTCGTGTGTTGGCCTGTCGAAACGAAAGACATGTCTACTTTGCCTTCCCACTTTTGTGAAGCCTTTTGTTACCATCAGTTTGACGGTAGTTTTGAGTCCCTCAAACATGGAACAAGCTGCTCAGCTGCACATAGAAGCAAAAAACTTTGCTTCTACGTGCAGCTTTTGGTGAAGAAGGAAGACCAGCAAAGCTGCAACGCTTGTCATGTGTGTTTGTTCTTCTATGATAGCTGGAAAGGTTGCCGCCATCTATGAGTGACGACGGCAACCAGACTGGTTGTCTTGTTACCGCCGTCACTCGGTGATGGTGATAGCTGTCCAGAGTTTTGTGTCGACATTTGTTCCGTACCCGACACACAAAACTGGGGAAACGAGCCCTTAACAGCTCCGCTGTAAAAAAACACGGCAACAAAATGCTGATTGATAAATGACAGCATGAACTGCAGTGCATACCGTAAAATAACGCAGAGGTACCCACTTTTTTCAGGTGCCCACTATTAACATTTCCCAAACTTGAGGGTTCTGCATATTGTATTTTAAGCGCCTGTATTGACCAGACAAGCGCCCATGTCGAGAATAACCTAGTTTTCACTGAGAGTGGGGTTGGCACTCCCTCGGTATTTTATGGTAGTTATTTTCGGTACAGAATCAAGGACAAAGGAAACGGTATATTCTACTGGAATAATGTTAAAATAGAATAGTTTAGTGTGCCCACACTGATGTTTAGTTGAAACTCTAAACGTTCTAATAAAACTGCAATCCTTAAATCAGATAAAAAAAACTAAGCTTCTGCATTTTATTGTGGATATCGATAACAGGTTATATGTAGGACTTACAGGGTGTCTAGCAAATTATTATCTTGAAATTCCCTCACTTTTTCCAGGTTTTCCCTGACAATTTCAAGTGAAATTCCCTGACCACAGTAGAGGCGGTTAAATATATAAGACCATTAAAACACAAGGCATTGAGCATTGGGCACTGTGAGGATCATCTTACACAGGCTTAATTCAACTTGCATATTCCAAAATATTCGGGTCTGTCCAGTCCGGATTACATGAGCACTTTCTTGACGCTGACATCGTGAGCGAAGAGGCCACTTCCGGAAAGGAAAAGCGATGAAAACACGACGCTCAATTACACATGTCAATAACCGAATGACAGCATGGCCGCCAGATGCACACTTTGGGATACTT